GTCGAGAAGGTGACATTTACAGGTACAAATATCATTTAACCCATTAATAATTGCATAATTTTAAAGAAAATGGTAATACAAGAGCATAATTTGATTTTAACAAGAAAATTACAGAAAACTAGATGCATGTACATTGCACAAAATAGTAAACGGACTATTCTAAACATCTTTTGATCTAATGATCGGATCTTCACGTTCTAGGACTCAATTTTAATGTTTCAAGAGGGTAACGCTAAACATGCTATTTACAAAGTGCGAACAATATTTTAAAGTACAAAATCAGACCCAAAAACGTACTTTCTCTTATTAAGCATACCTAATTTTCGATCGATTCGGATTTCTGACCCGCAGAATAGAAGGAGTAGCCGATATGGGTTTGGTCCCAATATAGGTTCCAATAGTTTGCATGTTTCGCCTTATCTCGTATTTTTTATGCCAATTGCAAAATTTTTGCCCTTAATTATAAAATTCATTTTGCCAAAGTTAATTCCATGCAAAAAAATACCCTATAGCATTTATTCATTATATTTCACGATTTAATTTAATAATAGTCGAAAGATTTTGAATTGTAAGATACACACATTTTTACATAATTTTAAAAAATGTAATTTTCAATGAATAAATACAATGTCTTTTAGTTCTGAATGTCACAATTGTAATTTAAAATATCGTCTGTATCAATTAATGGCATATTTGAAGTCACCCTCTTGAACCATTAAGATTGAGTCCTAAAACTTGAAAATCCGATAATTAGGATCAGAAGTTATTTAGGATGATCCTTTTTTTATTTTGTGCCCTGTGCAATGTATGTATTAACTGTGAATTTTTGGATCAATTTTCAGCTTATTTAGATGAGTGCTCACATCTAGTTTAAAATATAATATCTATCTCTAAATACATTACAAATATTCTGGTACTACCATCTAATGTATAGATTGAGAGCTGAACAAGATTCTTGGTATAAGAAACAAATTGCTTTAAGGTTTTAGACTCGTTACCTTTGAACAATCCACGGATATATTAAGGGCACGTTTTAGTGGTTGAAACTTCATCCTATCATTTATCAACTATCTCTTAATAACTTTTAATTAAAATTCAACTATTTAAGCATCTTTTTTATAAAGTTATTTAAGACCAACTTATTTGTATTTTAAATTAACTTTTAGAATGTTTATTTGAGTGAAAATCAGTCATAATATGGGAATAATTGTGAATTTCAGGGGTCGTTGGTATGGAGAAGTCCTCATTTATACTATTAGAGAAACAAATGGAAAAGAAAAAGAAATGAATCAATTCTTAGACGAGGTAGCTCAGATGGGCATGATTAGGCATGAAAATATTGTTCTTTTTATGGGTGCCTGCATAGAACCACAAAAACTGGCTGTTATCACTAGGTAATTATACTATCATGTTTCTTACCAATTTTCGTTTATAATTTTAAAATAAATAAATGCTCACTTCCATTTTATTTTCCGACATAAAGAAAAGAAGTAAACTATTATACAACTTTTGAAATCTTTCATTGTATTATTTGCTTACTTACTTTATGGCCACACCAACATCACACATTAAAAGGATGCTCCTTTATTGGGATGAAGAGATACATTATTCTAACCTAAAGTTAACTTATTCAATAACTTTAAATGAGATATTTTTTTTCTCTTTATTCTTTTATTAACATGACAGCTTAACGAACTTTAACTTTATTCTTTTATTAAAATGGCAACTTTAGGACTCAGGACCCCCAATCCTAAAGTCCAGAACTCAAAATTAAAAGAGAAGTAATTGAATCACTCCTGACGGACAGTTAGGAACATGCGAAGAGATCCATAGTTGGCGATTTATTGAAATATAAAATAGCTAAAAACAAAGCCAACCCCAAGTAATAATTATTAAATAATTTGTCTATAGCTTAATCACTAAAAAGGCAGTTAGAATTAATATAACATTGTAACCGAAACATTTCTGTGGTAAAATATTTTTTTTCTCTTTATTCTTTTATTAAAATGACAACTGAACGAACTTTATTCTTTTATTAAAGTTGTCCTGAGTCCTAAAGTTGTCATTTTAATAAAAGAATAAAGTTCGGTCAGTTGTCATTTTAATAAAAGAAAGTAATAAAGTAACTTAAGGAATAAAGAGTTATAAATAGATTTTGATGTTCCATTTAGTCGCGACAGTAAATTAATGAGTTTCACATTTGTATTAAATTAAAAAGTTAGCCGTAAGAATGACAGTTATGAAGAGAATTAAATATTTATATTTGCTTTTTATAAAATGTAATAAAAATTAAATAATTCATTTAATTAAAATTATATTAAGATTGATAAAAAATTTAATTTATGAAATTAAATTTATTAAATTTTAAAGCTAGGAAATATGTTATGCCTATTATGGCATCGCATATGATTTCAAGAAACTTGACTTAAACCATCAAAACTAAGTAGCATTTTTGAAAATAGGAGTATCGTTTTAATTGAAGTATGAAAATATAAATATATGAATGAACTAAAATATTGTTTCATGATTTAGAATATGCAAATTATGAATGAAATATTTAATATTTTGACCAATTTTGAAAAAAATTTTCTTTTTATTGAATTATCTAGTTTCGGATTTAGTTTTATATTAATGGAAAATTTCTTTTAAAAAGCTTACTGAAGTTTATAATTTTCTAGGTTCTTTTTTTTAATACACTGGCTGGTTTATTTTATTTTAATAGAAGAGCTTATAGTAAAAATGATGAAAGGCAATATCATACGTTGCACTAAAGTAAATTTTTTTAAAAGTATTTTTTCATATTTTCAAAAATATTTCATCCAATTATATACTTTAAAAAATCTTTCTCTGGTGTAATTTCGGAGAAAAATTAATCTCTGATAAAACAGAATGTTTGAAAAACTTAATATTATTTTGGTATTAAATGCTGTAGGTAGTCATGACAATCTGATTTTAATTATGGTGGACTATCTATCGAAACGTCTATCTTCATTAAACAACATGAGTAGCGCTGTTCCTTATATTGTAAATATGGCAAAATATCGTGTTTCGTGACATTTTACCTCCTAATAAATGTAATTTATTCTGCTGAATTTGAATAATTACAAAATAAAAACTAGCATTAAATAATAGAACTTTCATTGGCCATGAAAATTCACCGAGACTTAAATCTTCTTTTCTTCTTCCTAGAGTTCGTTTTTTGAATTGAAACTTATTTGAAAGGTATTCATTATTGATAGAATATTACTTTAAAATAAAGATTATTTATTTTAAATCTTTTCTTTTAGTATGCGGAAAGGACCTACGCTGTTTGAATATTTACATTTAAAGCGACACAGGCTGCCATTTCATTCTAAGCATAATATAGCTCGTCAAATAGCTCAGGTAATTATAAATTTGTTTAATAATTTTACTGTTTTCATGCATGAAGAAAAAAAAGGATGAATATTTTTTATTTCCAATGAGCTGCACAATCAGTCTTGCCGATGAGCAGACCTAGTGCGTTCTCCAGAGGTGGTATCCACTCTTTCAGGACCACCACAATGAGTGAGATACCGTTGGTCATATTAATTTGGACGTCTAATTTCCGCCACACTAGATGGCAGCACCGAGACTCTATTTGGATGCTAAAGTGATGGATGAATATAAATTTAATAAATTTTTTAAAAAAGATAATTTCTTGAAATCCAAATGAAAGATGTTTTTTTCTCTTTATTCCTTTATTAAAATAATATGATCACTAAGTCATTAGAAATTTAAAAGCACAATGTTGCGAAATTTTCTGGAATCTTAATACAGTGCCAGATTAAACCATGTCATCGAAAAAATTAAACCTTTTTAAATCTGTTTACACAATATTATAGTTCAGTTTAATATGAGCATTGTCTAACATCTTGCTTAGGTTGCAGCAATTTCATATAATAATATGGTTCTACATAGTACCAACTTTTCTGAGTAAATAGCGAAATTTTCACAAACATTTCTTAATTTTACATAATTTGATAACATGCTTATTCCAGAACACATTTTTGAAAGAAAATATTGAAAATTAGGTAAAAAGAAATATGAAGTTTTTATATCACGGATTCACTAGTGGCTGAAATGAGTCTTTTCAAATTAAGTTTGGCGATTTTATTTGCTTATATTTTAAATGACTGATCTTGGTTCCTTAGGCTTGATATTTTCTTCAAACTCATTCGATTTGAATTGAAGACTTATATATATATAT